CCAGGACACTATAATCCTAATCTACACTTACATACACTAAAATAAACCATCTTAAATAATTGGTTGAACTATTCCCATAATTAATAAATGAAGGTTTCGGGTCAGAGGTCGGCAAATCAACAAAACAGGAATTTCTTGAGCTTTGACTTGAAAATATTTAAACTTGTAGATTCTCTTAAGTCAGATGGTAACTGGTTCCAGAGGATAGGTGCAGCAACACTGAAGGCTCCATCACCATAGGATTTCAACCTAGAAGAGCGTCTGGTAAGTACATAACTGCTAGTTGACGATCGCAGTGACCGTATACATGACATCGACCGAAGATTTAGCATGTCGCTTATGTACACAGGTGAAAGATATATTCAATTTATGGCCTTTTAAAGCTTGCTCCAGTGGTGGAGATGTGTATAAGAGACAGGAATAGGAGTGATATGATGAAAACGTGGAGTTCCTGAGATAAGTCTTGCAGACATATTTTGCGCACGCTGCAATTTTGAGATTAATTTATCAGGAAGGCCATATAGAATGCTGTTGCAATAGTCCAACCTACAAGTGATGAATGCATGAACAATCTTCATAAGTGCTTGTTCGGTAAAAAGGTGGCGAATTCGCCTGATATTTCGTCCCTTTATAATAAATTTAATAAATAAAGAATTTTAATAAAAGGAAGAGGTGTAGCCAAAGGTTTTATGCATTACAATACAAAACATAAAGAAGGTGTAAAATTTAATATGATAGCTCCACCAGGTATCACTTCAATTATGACTGAAAAGACATCCATAACATCTTACCTTCAATGAGGGTTTGTTATCAATGACTACCGGTCCCAAGCTGAGAGTGTGATCACGTCCTAGCCGGATGTTTGCATAGTTGCTAAATAACTCTAATTCAGCCATGTAGCCCATGTCTTGTACCATTCTAATCAAGCTGACAACTAGAGGATGGAAGATACTATCAGGGATGAAATCCTCGGAGACCATATAGAGGGATACCATCTGATCTGAGTCTGACTTAATAGCCATATTGTCTGCGCTATGTTTCAGTCGACAGGGTACAAAAAATGACCGATGTGTACTCTCCAGATTCTTCAATAAAAACACATAAAAGAAAAATTGGGAGAAATATGCAATTATTTTTATACTCATTTTTAAAATAAAACATATTGCTATATATAAAATATGTAAGGTAAACTAGAATGAATCTTTTTAAAAAAATATATACATATTGTGTTGTCATTGCAACACATGATTTTTAATACAGTACCCAGATCCTCTCGCACAGCAGTCCAAACTGCTTCCTTAGTTCCAAAACGTCCTCAAAGCAAGTTTCATCTTTGCTAATCTCATTTCTAACACTTCCTCCAGGATTCCTTCATCAAGTTTATTCCAATGCACAATCACCAATCTTAGGCTGCCACCTGTCAGACGATCGCTATAGGGCGCGAAACTCAGAGTAACAACCAAGCCAAAGAATCCATATTGCAGAACATATAATTATTTTATCATAAATATATATATACATAAATATACACACATATATATATATACACACACATACACACACATATATATATATATATATGTATATATATGTATATACATATATATATATGCATGTATATATATATGTGTATATATTATATGTGTATGTATA